ATACCCCATCTTGCAGTATCATCAGTGACAAGTAATTGGAAGAGAACATTACTTACACACCGTAAAATGACAGGAAATTAGATGTAGGAAAGATTTGTTACACTTATAGAGGGCTTGAACCACAGAGAACAAGTCCAAGGTTTAACAGTGGTGTCATTCTTTAGCTTAACAAGAACTGGCTTTTTGACAACACTGACAGTAAAGCGTTTCTTTTTACTATTTCATACTCGATAAGAAATGAGTTTTGACATACAACCAAAGCTGTTGTGTCCACGTCCTTGTTCTTCATCAGAATTTCTCGTACATGGTCACACTTCAGCCCTTCCTGTGTGACAAACTTGGAAAATGTCCCACGTGGCTTGCCATACTTGCATGGCATGATGGATGTCAGGTCAGGACCACATGTGTAAAGGAAGAAAGCCTCCTCAGATTCTATTCTAGCCCCTGAAGTACAAAAACATCAACTTTTACTACAAAGACATAACATCACATGAAGCTGAAAATGTAAATATGGTACCGACATATTTTATTTAGTTACTTAGGGATTTAATTAAAGAACAAAAAGCTTTTCATCAGATTTTATTTTTTCACTAAACTTGGAGCAAATCTTTTAATATTTTCTCCAAACTCCCGTGGAAAAATAAACAAACTAACCATCAAACTTATAAGAGTGAAAAACATCCTCCCTGCTGCAGGTAATGATGTATGCTGTGATGCAAAGCGAGACCCTGAGGCGCAACAGTTCACACTTTGATGATTTATTACTTGTTTTCTTGAATCCGGGAATATTTTACCAACTGAAACTGTTACTGGAGGTGAATTCAAATGAAGGCAAAGATGATAGGACTTGTATTCAGATGTCAGTGGGCTTTCACAGGTTGGGATTGTCTGGGGACTTCAGACATTAAAAGCTCATTAGTGGGAACCAGAGAACTATTCACTAAGCACCCCAGGAGAATGTGGAGAATTCATCGCATGTCAAACATCACGTCAACTACAATCTTTTACATGTAACTGATATACTTCTTCATTATGACTGCAAATCGATGTACCATGTGTACCATCAGAACACACACACACACACATCTAAATATCTACAAATAATCTAAAAATATTTGTGTGTATATATCTATTTATAAATGTAAATATATAAATACCTATTCTAAAATATTCTAAAAACTAAAAATAATATTGTGATTACTCACCCCATGTAATTTTTTAAATAACCAAATTAGAACCAACACTTAATTGTGCACAACTAATATCAAATTAATTGACTTCCCCTTAAAAAACGGTTCAACTGATGCTGAAGAATTTTCCTGCCATCTGGTTTCCTCAATCAAAATCTAATTTATATTTATGTATTCTACACATATTCCTGTATACACAGTAATCGCTTATTTTTTCTCGATAAGGTGACAAAACATTGTCATCACTTGAAATGTGTAAGGAGAAATTACAGATCAAATATTGTACAGGGATAGTTTTATTTTTAATGAAAGGCCACTAAATGTGTGTGTCCACTGTAGATCTTTTATATTGTGCTTGAACATTATTTAGGAGGTTCCTACCATTGAAGAGAAGCACAGTGCCCATGCTCCAGTGTACATCTTGCTTCAACATCTCTTCACTTGGCGCCACACAGTGTCCCAACATGCAAAAGGTTTTGTTACTGTCAGATGACAGACTTGACTTTCTGGGCAGGGTATAGTCCAGAGAAACCTCACAACTCCTGCAAGAAAGGAGGGACTCAGGTTTTAATGTTCCATAATTTACATTCAACATTCAAGTCTTGAATGCTGCTGTGAAGCCTTTGCTCACCTGACACCACACATCCACACTACCACACGCCCGTGGATGTTCTTCTTGCCCTCTGGCTGCTGGGTGTAGGTGAGACCAATGTGCTGCCACTGGCCTGGTTTGAGGAGTCCCTCACCAGAGGCTGCCTGCGCCAGCAGCCCTGCTTTTATCTCATCATTTGGGTCTATACAAATTCTAAAAAAAAACAAAAAAAAAAAACAGACATGTGATGACAAATGAGCAACAATTAAATATGACAGTGTGACTTATTCTTCAGTCTGGCTGTTTAGGATGCAGACTACTTTAGAGCTCACCTGAATGTGAGAGAACCTGTAGAGAAGTCTGCCCACACTTGAAGCATCAGTGCCTTCGAGCCCATGGACAGGATATGAATGAGGCCTTCTTCTGAAAAGCTAGTGCAACCCTGAGTGGGGCCACAATGTGACTCAGATACAGAAGGACTCCCCTCTTTGAAAAAAATAAATAAATAAAGTCAATAACATTAAAATGAGTCCACTTCTTCTGGTACAAACAGTCATTAGAATGTAAAATAATTTAATCTGAATTAAATGCAAAGCATCAAAGTTTCTCTTTTATATGCATGTGATCCACAAAGGCAGAGCCCAACAACACAAAGGAGCTCAAATGTGAAACAGCATTTGCTTTATCTGAAAACTCATGGACTACTGGCTGCATTTATCTGGCTGCTTTTCCTCTGTTTTTAATGGCTTCACTGTAGTGTTAGCTGTTTGCTTTATCCATGAATCTTGACCACTGAAGAAAATAAAATGCTTTAACTTCAAGTCTAGACTGCCACATTAACAACAGCATCAGCCTGGTGTACCTACTTTTTTTTAGCAGCTGCTGTTTGAATGAAGTCTGTATAATATAACACTGGAGGGGCTAACAAGTGGCCCGGGTTGAGCTCACTTTTCTGAGTAATACTGAGCAATACTGTCTGTGACATCATCGGCCTGACACACAATAATAGTATAGTACTGTATGAATTAAGCCTTTGTTTGCTGTGTCTTCTTCTCACCATTGTCTTTGTCTCTGTCCTTTTCTTCCTGCTCTGCTACCTTCAGCCACATAGAGGCGCTAAAACCACTGGCCATATGGGGCCAGCAGTTCTGCCCCACTAAGGGCAAGTGTAGCGGAGCAGTATGCCAGGGAGAGGAACGGAAGTGGCTAACTCGGTACTCAGTTTCTCCTTCTCTACGCCCAGGAGAAAGTTTGCCTTTCCAGAGCGAACTAACACTCTTGCCTCCGGCAGCTCCGTTCTGTCTGAGGTTAGGAGACAGCGTTCCTGGTGATGAAGCCCCAAGGACCATTGGAAAGGTCAGGTAGTGGAGGGGTTCTATGCTCATGTTGGCCTCAACAACTTGTAGAATGCCCTTTAGTAAAATCTCCTGCAGAAACAGTAAATAGTCTGTAAGTCAAATATTCTGCTTTTGCATCATTATTTATGTGTTGATAAAACACTTAAATCTAAAAGCAATATATGTTGTTACTCCTTCGTGGTTAAATACATTATCTAAACAAGCAACAAAAGAATTGTAACCATTCACTTATTGACAATTTTCCTGGCTTTTGCATGAGAAAGGGATTTCCTTAGACACAACAGACTCAAGAACTGTAATATTCTAAACTAAAAATAATCATGTCTGTATTCAACTACAACATAGAATAAAATTGTGGTATTAATAAAGCAGCATCACACACAAAAAGACAGACAAAAGGTCTGTTTCTGAAGGGGAATGCGAGGACATCAGCAAGGAAAGAGCAACCCAATCTGACAGGGTGACTGTCGTCACTGATGTCTCATTTTCACAGACAGAAAACATGCAGGTCACATGTCACTGCATTCAAATGGTTAAAAATACATTCTTGTTATTCTTAATGCAAGCATTTCCGCTAGTGACAGGTTACAAATTAGTTCTGCAGCCAAATTCAAAATAAAAAGGGTGTGAATAAGCTGAAGTGTCTCTTCGTCACATACTGGTGTTAATTGTAAGTACTCTGAAGGGGGGCTCAGGGGAGCATCATGTGTTTAGAAGAATTTTTACTAAGAATTGTGAAGTGAGTGTGACAGGAAGGCAGACTAACAAATGACTGATTGTTCTCGATGTGAAACCTAGTTTGCAGATGCTGTGAACATACTGTAGGCTATCAATGTCAACAAGGTGAATGTGAGCTAACAGTGCACTGCTGAGTGACTGATGGGGTTTGATATTTACAGTAGGTGGGGTCTTCTCCAGGAAGAGGCGAATCAAGAGAGCCAGCTCCTCCGCTGTGATTCGCTGGCTCACCATGGCAACCAGCAGTTCCACGAGCACAGTCTGGCACTCTGAGTGATGACCAGAGGAAAGAAAACAGCGTCAGCAGCTTTTATTCACTCGGGCATGCACCAAAACAGACAAACAACACAGAAACTTACATTATATATTATATTCCTATGTCTGTGAGCAACACAAACAAAACAAACCTACTTTGGCTATATCAAAATTATATTTTAAGTTTTTTTTTTGGAAACCTAAAAATACTTGTATGTTTTTTTTTTGGAAACCTAAAAATACTTGAAGCTGTAAAAATGTAAAGAGGAGTGTTGTTTTCTTTGGTTTGTGAAAATACATAATGATTCAAGCTTAAACTTTCCATAAAGCCCAATAACAAACACAGCAAACTGAAGCACAGGATATTGCTCATGTGTGACTGTAGGAAAAAAACATGAGAACTGATAGGATAAAAATAAGCCAGGAGAAATAACAAACCTGTGAGGGAGGGGTCGGTTTGACTGAGGATGTTATAAAAACCAGAAAGAATGGTTTTGACTCCACCCTGTGCAAGGAGAAAAATTGAGTTAGTCCTAATCCACCGGCAGTGAGGTGAAAGGCACATGTAGATAGGCGACATGGTAAAGGCAGGAATTTTATGGTTCTGTTATTGTCCGTTGTATTTGCGTACTTCACGTTTCTCACTTCAGAAGTCAGTTAAAAACTCCAGTTCCACCACAACAGTGGTTCACAACCACTGTTGTGGTGGAACAGGTTTTTACCATTGTGCTGCGGCACAACGTGGTGCTGTGAGAGAAAACTAGGTGTACTGTGGAAAATTATCCATTTTTAATTAATTGGTCTGAAAACCATTATTCTTAATTTGTCTTTGTTCATGGATGTGACAATGACAAGTAGAAGAATTAAATAATTCTATTAGTGTCACTTAATGGCTTTAAAAACTCAAGAACTGTCATTAGTTATTTTATCCTGCATTTATGTACATTTATAATTATCATTAATTTAATATTATTGTGAAAGTATGTGGCTTACTGCCTCTAATTATAAATATAGACATTAAGACAGACTATCTAGGGGTCGCTGGAGGGGTGGGATGTTGATCAGTACTGGTTTGACTAGCACCATCACACACCTCAACGAATAAGAGCAGCTCGTGTGAGGTCTTGAACAACATATTAAAACTGCCCGGGACAAGTGGAGTTGATCGCTCCAAAGTTAAATGTAATGACCGTTACAATATTATAATAGTGGCTCTGGTTTTTAACTTTTTTTTTTAAGTGTTTGCAAACTAAATGTTATTGCATCACTAGAAATTAATGTGCACCCGCAAATATTGCTTCGGTACATTTTGAAAGGGCCAAGGTAAATGCTTTTGTAATTGCTACATCCGCTACCTGTATGGAAAGTAAGAGTCAGAAAAAGGATGAAATTGTAGATTGTCCAACCTGGTCATAAAGCAAAGCAGCATTGCGGTGGTTGGACTTCACTGCATCCAACAAACTGTGAAACACATGTCTCAGAACCTCCAAGTCCGGGGAGCCACTGGCGAGGAGCTGCAGCTCCATCGTGCAGATCTCTGGGAAGAGCAGCATGCCACGCCCGTGCCCGTCAGCCCCTTCCACCAACTCCTGCAGCACGCCAGATTCAAACTTCACTCCTAAAGAAATAATCACAGAAATTGGAGCAATATTAGAACAACAGTCCCACACGCTGACAGGAAGCTTTACGTCACACTCACACATGCTGACACAGAGGCATCCAACCGCTAGCAGCTTCATGAAACACATGCACATCGCGCTCCTGCGCCCAACTCTGAGGTGGAGGAAGCTCATAAAAATGAATTAGGACTGAGGAGTTCCGTGCTCAGCCTCACAGCAGTATGGAAGTCCCCCTGTGATTTACTGTGGAGCAGCCCACCAGCCTCTCATGTGCCTTCTGGGAGCTCTTCTATTAATGAAGCCAGCTCACCCTCACTGTGCACAACCACACTCTTCTGTATAAAACACTCAAACCCTAATTACAACACCTTTTACAATAAAAAACTAAACATGCACAGCATAGCATATATAATTGTACAAGCTGCTGAAAAAAATTCTCCAGTTAACTCATATAGGGTAAATATATATATAGAAAGTGAAATTACTAACTATATTTACAAAATAAGGTAAAAAAGTAAAACAGTCCTTTCTAAGGCAGAACATCTTATTTTGGCAAAAACAGAGATATGTATTTAACATTGAAAAGGAAATTACTTCTTAACATTGTACAATTTTAAGAGTCATAATTCCACAAACTAAAACAAAAAAAACTCTTAGATTCTGTGTCTATTTGATGGTTGCTCTAACATAATTCCACAAACTAAAACAAAAAAACTGGTCATAAGATCAAACTCATGAGGCCACGGAGGGAAGCTGCATGCATTAGTAAAACAACAAAAAACAATGATTCTATTATGAGGGGATGACAAATGAGAAGAGGTATAATAAGGCCTTGTTTTTGCAACCTGTACCATGTGAGTTTGGAGGCAGTTAAAACACAGCACACAAATGTTTAGTGAAGGAAGCAAGAAACGGTTTGTGTCATGTCATTATTATTGTGCAGTTTTAAAAAGTAGCCACAGTAGAGTCCACAGCATGTTAAATGAGGATGTGGTTTATGACACATCCTCAAGACGAACAGACTATACAGTATATGAACTGTCCTCCACTGTGACCACTGCAGACGATGAAGCTCTGTAAAATAAAGTAACTTTACTTTATATGAAAGACTCATGTTTTGTTTCGATAACCAGTTTCCTGTAGCTAAAATGACATGACAACCTCAAAACAAAGGTGTAGTGACGTGTGTGTGTGTGTGTGTATACCTTCTTCCTGCTTGGCCATGTCCTCAGGATTGCTCTCACTGTCAGCATCGTAGCCCTCCTCCTCCCCAGGGGGCTTAACTCCACAGCTCTGCACCTCATCCACCTCCTCAGACAGATCGTCTGTTGGAGCTGCAGCCTCAGCCAAAACCTGGAGCTTCTGACATAAGAAAAAAAAAAAGTGGGTATGTGCGTGTGTTTGTGTGAGTGAGAGAGGGGGTTGGTTTGTCAAAATACTGCTAAACCAGGAAAGTAGTGTAAGTTGTCAACTTGTTGATGATTAGAATGCATGAAATCCTAAACCTTAAACTCAAAGGTAATAATAAACGATAAATACCTAAATTGACAGAAACCTTAGTTTAGACTAAATAAGATAAATAGATTTTTTTCAGACAGTCTGAAAAAGAAGAGTAAAAGATTTGGGTCACAAGAAAAATATCAGCTGACTTATGAAACATTCAAATAACCCAGGGAAAACACATGGAAATTCAAACGTGGACCATTTATGGAACAAAGAACATCAGGAACTTCTAAACCTTTTAACTTCCTGTAAGTGGTTTAAAAATTAGATAGAACAAAAAGACAATTAGGTAATGCACATAAAGCACATATACAGGTTAGTTTTGTCAAAGTACCTTTGAATAATGTTTATCACTTGTTTTAAATCTAATAAAAGTATGTCAGATTTTTTCTTCAAATCCCTTACCAGATAACCTAAAGAGGTCAAAAGAAGTCAGTGGACAAACTCAGGAGTGGAGAGTCATGAATGGCATTTAAATCTGATATGTGCAATGGTTAAGTGATCACACTGGTGAACTCACTGAGGAAGAACTAAGCTGAGGAAGAAATTGTTAAATCTATTATATAAAACGCATAATCCTCCAGTGTCAGAACAGGCTTAGTCAGATAGGCATTTTAAGCCTTATAGAAAACAGAACTCGGGCTGTGAGATCACTTATGGCTTCTACTGCCATTGGGCAAGTTCAGGTTTTTTTTTTATTTTTCCTGTCTCTATAGCATTTGCATGAAAAAACAAAAGCTATGACTTTTCTGGCTTTTTACCACATTGTGTTTAAGTAACTGTCCAGTGTTGAAGCCTGAAGGTTTCAGTTGCTTAGGTATACTGTCTCTCAGTGGTCTTCTCGATGTTAGAATCCCTCGCAATTTTTCTTTGGGGTGTAAGATGCTGTGGAGCAACACATTGACTTGCAGCAATTATATATTTTTTTTACGATTTCTGTTTTCAGCCATATCGTTGTTATATAATAGATACATAATTTAAATTACAAAGAGGAAAAAAATGTTTAATAGAGATTGTGTTTGGAGGTTTTTTTTCTATTTCTGAGCTAATGGCTATCCAAAAATTATTTTTGTTGTAACTTCTAACTGGGCCTTATGTATTCTTGGAGATATGTGCCTGCTAGATTGGAAAGTCAATAACATACTGTACAAGGCTAAACGTCTGAGGTAAGTAAGCAACTGCAGCAATGCCATAAAAACACTGAACATTGAAAGCTTTGGGCAATATCATGGGCAAATCCAAAAAGAAAATCTTGTTTGACATAACTCACCCTCTCTGGCTTCTCCTCAGGTGGCTCAGGACACGATGACACCTCAGCCAAAGCCACTCTCAGGAGGGAGTCGAACAGAGGTATCGCAAGGTTGGAGTTCACAACACCTGAGCGTGAGAGCTGGTCTTTCACTTCAAAAAGTGTTTCCTCCACTGTCTGGAGCTACAAATACACAGAAGTATTATTAGTGTGGTCTATGCAGAGAAAAACGAAAAAGCTGATCGGTGTCATGCAACTATACAGTACCTGATAAGAAAGTTCAGGTTCTATCCTCTGCAGCGCTGAGTTACTGCTGTGTAGACAAATGGCCAGAAGTGCCTCAAGTAGACGGATACTTTGAAGCTGCCACTCTTCCTCCAGCTTCTTTGTAGAATCTTTGTTTTTGGCCTCTGAAGGACTAAGCCCTGAGGTGTCAGATGAATCTTCATTTGTTTCTTCCTGTCTCAGTGTAGTAGCCGATACTGTGGACTCAGGGCTGCCTTTACCCTTACCATCCCTCTTCTTCTTTGCTTTCCCATCTTTGGTTTTACAGGAAAGTTTCTGAATAACCATGGCCATGAGCCGCAAGCAGACATCGAGACCCCCCAACCTGAAGAACTGACGCTGAAACAACGGACTTGCCAGGTAGATCCACCGACAGACTGACCAGACGTCTGCAGCCCGCTGTACCTGCTCTTTGGAAGGAAGCGCCACACTATCTGGAGACAGATAAGGGAGCCGTCCGCCAAGAGGTTCACTTGCAGTACTATCATAACCTGAGGTGTCTTCAGAGTCATTTGCTGAGTCACGGTCAGAATCAGCGTCTTTGCTGACACAGAGAAAGGCCACACACAGAAAGAGGTTGATGACATGAAGGTGTGTCTCAGCCAGGCTGCGCCCCGGTCCTCGGCCTTGACTACTCCGACTTTTGTGACGTGGTAACGCCTCCTTTAGGCCTTCATAGAATTTGCTTAGACTCTGTGGACCCTCCCCTCCACCTCTGGAACCCAGTTCTTCAGCCAGACCCAAGACTGCCTCAGCTTCATCAGTATTAGCACACTCCAGGTCCTGGAGAACCCCACAAGCCTGTTGATGTCCAACACCAATGATGAGAGTCTCAAACACCTTCAGAGCCAAAGCACGGGTCTGGTCCAGGTAAACCAGCTCTGTCACCTGATTGAGTCCATTACAACTCATGAAGAGGTCTCGTATCACCCTGTGATGAAAAGAAATAAAAATTGTAAAAATATTATCAAAATTCAAAAATTAGATGATACTTTTTTTTATCCAAGTGCAATATGATACAGAAGGTTTTGAAAAGCTCTCAACACAGTACCCATTTAGTATTGACACTCTAGGTTGGAGATACACAGTAATTATTAATTAGTAACTGTTTTTATCTGTGGAGATATTTTTTTAAAAACTTTTTACTACTTTTTCTGATTTACGTGGCGTTTATTGCCATCATTCAGCTGATGTACTTGTGAAGTATAAAAAAAGTCAAACAAAGTCATGTGGGATTGAGGTCAACAAATAAACTGGATATATTTAAAAATGATGGGATGGTTTGTTTCCCCAATTAAAACCCTTTAATCACCATTTCTCTAAACTACAGTAATGAATTTTTGATTGATTTTGCAGAACATTTTCTCCTTTCATTAGTGTGAGAGTCCATTAGGAGTTCCATTTGTTAGTCTGCATATGAAAAGTTTCAACATTGATGTTTTTGAATAAAGTTGTAGAAGTAGCAATCTTGTAATTATTTTTCTTGTTTCTTCACTCAGCAGCACACACTGATATAAAGTCCTAGTGGGGAAAACCTAATATAACCTAATACCGTGACGTCATGAAAATGTTGCTCGAACTGTGACTTCAACATATCAGAACTCATTCAGTCCTTTATGGTCATATTAGTAAGTAGAGTGATGTGATCATTGGATGCAGTAAATATAAGATTTTTCCAAAGATCAGTTTGTTGGTCAGTTGATCAGGTGTATTCAGCCAAGACCAATACCTTTCTGCAGTGTTACATAACATGTCAATAGTCTTCCCTCTGTCTGTGTCTGCAGCGATGTATTAAATTATTGATAAACACCAAGCATCAATTAGAAATGACCTGGTACGAAAGATCTTATGACAAAGATCTGGAACAATGTTCAAGTGGCTCAGGTTTCTAAAGAGTTTTTCACACTGATCATAAAACCCACTTCAACTCCAGCTTAAATATTGTTTTTTGTTTTAAATGGTTCATCGTTATTTCCGCCTGATTTGCAATTTTTGTGTTAGCTAATATCTTCCTTTAGCTAATTTTACCAGAAATAGCACATCACTTTGAGTTCTTTCATCAACATAGTGTCAGCATAGAAAGTTGCACGTTTTTAAGCATCTACTGAAGGATAGAATAACAGTCAAACAGCTTACCTTGATTTGAGGAGAGCAGGTAAAGTCTGGAGGTATGTTAGTAGAACCTCCAGCGGCAGGCACTTCGTATGATAACTGCAGACCTGAGTACAGACAGTGGAAACGCCCAGCTGTTGGGCATGGTGGGCAAGTTCTACACCTCTTTGGAGCACAGGATTGAAGATATGTGTGTAGAGCTGCCACTGCACTATAGCGTTGCCCCTCAGGGTGAGGTGGCACACGTGGCCAGCTATTTGCTGACTCAGCAGCCAATCTTCACCAAACACAAGCTCCTGATAGGCCTCAAGGGCATCCCACTTCCACAGCATATCCTCTGTTCCACCTCCACTTGGCAGAATACCCTGGGAGCGGTAATGAAGACTGGCAGCCGAAATGGATGAAGGTTCTCCATGCTGCAAAGTTTCCTCGAGACCTGGCAGCTGGCTGTTATCCAGGGTGCAGATGTTACAAGAAGCCAGTTTGGCTTTTTCTGAGGGTTGTCCACCACCAAGCTGGTCTAGGATCAGTCTAGCCAGGACACTGAGAACATGGGACTGGTAACTACGCAGACCAGGAGCTTGGAATGCATATAGCAAAGGTCCAACAACTGAACGTGGGTCCATACAGCAGCAGATTCCAACAGCCTGTACCCCAACAAGTACCTGCAGAACAGCTGGTCCACTTGGAGAAAGGCGTTGCAAGAGTCGCAAACACTGGTGAGCACAGGCAGCCAGGCAGCAGCAGCGTTCAGGGTAGCGTACTGCATCAACCTCTGTTCCGTCCCTGCCCTCTCCTTCCTCCTCAAAAGGATTACGTCTTGCTGCCTGTTTGAAGGCAGAAACAGGCAAACCTGACAGATCTCTGTGGTGATGAAGGAAGTGTGAGTATTCACAGCGACGATGACGCCGTCTGGCACATACAGACTGATGCAGCTGTTCTGACTTTGCTTTTTTAACAGCACTGATGATCTTAAACACACCAGCTATTAGACCTCGTAATCTCTCTGACGCCTCGCCTCCTATGTCAGAATCTCTCACCTTTCCTAGCCCCTCCAGCCTCAGCACAGTTGTCTCAAAAAGCTCCAGACCACAGTGCTGGACAAATTCATGGATAAGTTCAAGTGCCTGGCTAAAGAAAAATGGGTTAGGTGTGGAAGCCTGTAGACAGGCCAGAAGCACTTGCAGTACTCCCTCTAGTAGCTCCGGCAACAATAGTGCTCTGTGACGATAACGGGAGAATGAAAAATCTTCTTGGACCTCCTGCAGGGTTTTCTTTGGACGAGGTGCGAAGGGGTTTGCCTGTCTGTCTAAGCAGCTTCGGATTTTAAGAGTAGCTCGCAGCAGTTCTGTTAGACTACGTCTCAGGCTGTCTGGAAGTGTTTCACTCTGACTAACATCGACTGACATAAGGTGCAAGATGGTACGTAATAGCATCCGCTGAACTAAAGCAATAGGCTCTTCTGTCCAACCTCCAGCAAGTTCTTCTGCCCCAGTTCCACCGCCTCCTCCCCCTGGACCACAGCAGTCTCCAAATTCTGTGAGAATCTCTGTGAGCGTGGGGACTACACTGGCTGCAAGACCAGGGTTGTGGTTGATGTTCATGTCAAACTTACAGACTTTCTCAAGTAAGGAAAGCAACACATGGCAGAGGTCAAAGGGTGAGTTTTCCATGCGGTTAAATATTGATATTGCAGCTGGGTCAGTCAGGGTCTCAGTGTCCACTGCCTGAGACCCAGGGGCTCTAGGATGAGGATATGGTGCACTCATGATTTCAGCAGTTGTGCTGGCAGAAGCTGCTAACTGGGAAACCTCAGAACGATGATGCTGAGAGGTTATCCTGACGGTGGAACCATGTAATCTCCGACTCCTTGGACCGGCTGACCCTGGGGTCGCGCGCTCTGTCCTCAGAGTTATTTTCTGAATCTGAGGTAGAAACCTGGGCCTTGCGAGCATCCTTTACAGAGTACCTCTGTGCTGCTCTGTGCGATCTCCTTGATTTCCAGGTTCCACTACCGACACGGGACCTCTTCCCAGTGTTTTCATCGTCTGCTGTAGCCTTCTGTCCTCCTGCCTTAGGAGCGACAGCCTTCACCTCCCTAAGGAATACCTCTAGTAGGGATGGCAGGGTGAAATCTGTCAACATACAAATATTGGTCAATTTCTGTAGACAAAATCAAAAATGAAAGTCAGTCGATCTTTAATGAATTAAGTGAACCTGGGCTATTCCCTGAATTGTGCTAAAGAGTATACGGTGATATAATATTGATTATAACATACAGAAAGTTTATTATTTAAAAAGTGGGCCCTTATGTAAAGGACATTTTTAATACAAAAAAAACAAAACAATATTAGTTAACATGGGTATGAAGCTCAGTCAACTGTCATCAGAACCTGCCTTCCTAATTTTGTATAACATCTTCTGAGACTACAAATTAATTAAAGTAAAAATGTCTCAGAGACATGTTAAAGAGGTTGGCAGTCCCATGTCATCCTGAGGTCACGAGTGTCGGGTGCCAAAGTTTTACTACCCTTGTGTGACCATTTTGTACGTACAATTATGATTTTTCAAATAGAGATAACTGGTTAGTAATCTGGCTCATCAATCTTTAGTTAAGATATAAGATTTAGTGAGGAATTCAAATTTCTTATAATATTCATTTATTTTAACTAAGTGGTAACAGGTATAATAAAAAACATAAAGGTTACAGCATCACAAACACCGTTTTTATCTCTTTTATTCACAGCATAAACCACTGATTCACTTCGCTGAGACTATAATGCATAACCTTGGAGTTGTAAAAAACAAATATGTTAATTGAAATGATTAGTTACAGACTTACATGAGTAAAAAGAAGTCACATGCAGTTGCAGCTGAACCCTTTGAGGTATGCGTGGCTAATATCATCTTTAAAATCAACATGGAGTAAATTATACTTCAATATACTGACCGGGGGCTTTCTCCTCCTGTACAGGAATTTTCCAAACCAGCGGCAGCAAAGACAGAAGCAAAGTGAGCAGCTCCTCCCGACATGTCAGCTCCTGAAAGAGTACAAATATCACAATGATGTTACCTAGAATGCCTTCATGCCCCTCTCTCTCTCTCTCCCTGGTGCCACCATGATTAAACATCAAGACACTCCCACCAGGCCACCATGTCTCTTATGTCTTCATGTTAAAAACCAATATCCTTTAGTCGTCACCACTAACCTCAAAGACCGTTTTCTATTTCATACAGTAGTGGTTTTTTATATTTATATGACTAAACCTTTAACTAGGTTAACTAACTAACTAAGTAAGTACTCTTGACATGCGTGTCACAGAGCAATGTAGCACCCATATGGTAACCATACTCTCAAGACCCAGAAGGATCTGTCCAGTGCATTCCTCACAACAGAGAGAACCCATTTCTTCATGTGTTAATTAAAACAAACCTAGTTGTTTTGAGTGTGAATTAAAAATATCAACAGTATACAGCTCACAGTTAAATCATGTCTGCCGTGTGTCCATTATCATATCAAAAATACTATCATTAATCATTCTTGAAATTTAGCTGTTGTTACAAAATGGTGAAAAATGAACCAAAAGTTTATTAGATGGAAATATAGAAGCTACAAGACAATCTATAATAGGACAAACACAGTGCAAAATAGTTAACTTGGCTAATGTAGCTTGGAGTAATGTCAACAGTTTAAAGGACATTAAAGAGGGTCAAGAAAATGTGCTATCTTAAATTTAAGAAAGAGCTTAATAAAAGTCATCTACAAATGAGCAGAACCTTCTTACAATTAGTTAAGGGCAAGTCAAAAGTAAGTTCAAAAGTAAGGTCATTTATTTCTAAATTGAAAAAAGTAAAAAACAATATACTGTAAAAGCAGTAAACCTCTCTGGAAATTTTATAAAAATAAATTTCAAAAGATCTTCTCTAAAAGCCTTAAGTTGATGAGAAACATGCAATTTTGAAAAATAAATTTACAAGCTTTTTATCAAAATGTATTAGTTTTTGAACAAAAATGACATGAAGGTTCATGTTTCACTAAAAAAAAATACATGGAACTGATTATAACTGCATGCTTGACCCTAATTCAGGTCATCACTGACTCACAACGCTGAAGCTTGTGATGGCACACTTATGTACTAAAGCATACAAAAGAATGAAAAATATGACGAGTGTCTTCAAAGTTAGCTTACAATAAGAGGCCCAATGGGCTGACACACAGGGTCACATTTAATGTATAATAATGTCATGACGTAAATCATGTGTTCGTCAGGCAGATGATGATTATGTAATACTAGTTTTTTTTTAAAAAAGACACCATTGTACATTGATGTTAAAGAGCAGCATGTTAGATTTTATATTTGTCTTAGAAACCTTGTGACAACAGAGAGAACACCATATTATATTTAAGGGTTGGATTAGTTGTCTTAATAGTGTTCAAGTATTCTCAGTACACTTCAAGGGCCCTGACACCCTGAAGTTACACTCTTGGTTATTTAGCTTCTAATGCACCAGTTTCTCGGAAGCTCATTTTACCTGATTAGCATCGATGCTACTACAAAGTATTTATCATAAGGCATCTACAAGATTAAATGTGGTTCAAACCCTGACTCAGCAGCATCAGCAAAACATTTGCAGGCATTGATTTCATATACAGGACTTAAAAGAAGAGTATTTTAGTTACACTCCATGGGTGAAGTAAACCAGAGGGGGAAAAAAGACTGGAAAGTAAGTGCTGTATATATTGTAGTTTATGGGAAAATGCATATACTATTGTTAAATATTTTCTATTATTTTTCTAATGATCCTGCTGACCAGTAGTGGTACTGCAACAACCTGTAGATGGCACTACAGGTTGCTTCAAAGACAGACTGACTGAGGTTTGCATTAATATATACAGTATATGGTACAGTCTTTTTTTAGGTTATTATAAACTACTATGATTACAGTGTGGGGAGTGTGGGAAACCATCCCTGTTTCTTCTGTAGGGCTTCCCTTGCAGACAAGAAAAGGGAAGAAGACTTTTAAGCTCATGCTGAAGATGCCAATGACATAAATTATTGCTAAAAGACTGTCCTGTTTTATAGGGGTAGAGTTTGACTCTGTTTTCACCACAGATCAGGATGGTTTTGCTCTCTGGACCATAAGCATTGACACATTGACACATTAAATCACTTTCTCGTGGCCTCTTTCTCTTCACAACAAGCTGAGAATTGGTAAAACAATACTTTTTACTCTTTGAAAACAGACTCTATGACACACATCCATTCCTGCATCTTTCATGAGCCTCTCTCTATTCTCCGAACAGTTGTTGTAACTGTAGAAAAATATCCTCTTACAGTTAACCTCCAGTGGCTGCACAAGGCAACATCCAAGTGGTTCACTTGGCTTGTCTTCCAAGCGCTTGAATGCAATTCAAATGCACACGTGTTAACCCCGATAACCATTCAAAGACAACTAACGACAGAACCGATTTGACGTGGAGTTAAAGTCAGAGGTTAATAACATTCCAAAGGTGACGACTGATGACCTTTCCTTTTCACTTCTTTTACTATGAAGATTATCATTAGAGCCTGCTATTGTTTGTCTACTTTGATGTTCACGCTCAATGACTAAAAGCAGCTGACTATGACATCCACACTGTAACAATACGGGATAAAACACAATCATGACACCTCTGACGGCGTCACATTAACCCCGTCATGTGAATGCTCCACTGTTCTCGCAGCACATGAACATCTTTGATCCGTTACTTGAGCTAAAGAAGATGTACAGTTCAAACTGTGAACTCAATAAATGACAATGCTGAAACCTGATGTGCTTTTGAAGCCTAATGTCCTGGATGCACAAGAAAACGTTTCTGTCAACAGTGTGTGTGCTAAGAAGGCCCTCCAAACTTTAGTGCATTATTTTAGCTGAAAAACCAACTTTCTCATCACATTAACATCAAGCAGCAGGATCTGCAGAGCTTTTTTAAAATCAGGAACTGGTGTGTGAAATACGCAGAACTCAATTCCCTATAAACCTGAAAATGTAGTTACAGTAGTCACGCTATTTGAGAGGAAGTAAAAGTGGACTAGTAGCAACCTATTAAAAAAAAAAAACATGGTCACTTCAAGGAGTTTATTTCACTCTTAACTAAATGTAAGTGAACATGTTTTGCAAATAGTTTGCAAGTGCAGTTGCTAATCCTGGGATTCTGCAAAACTGTAGGACATTTTTGTCAATAACTTTGGTATAATTTTGGCATTATCTTGTGCCTGTCAAACAACACATTTTTTCTGGGTTGTGTAAATTCCATTTCTTTAAATGTATTTAAATCACATTGTATAGTCCCGGGTATAGGGAATAGGGAAATAAAATACGGAAATACATCAAGTTTCACATTTGTCAATGAAATATGCACTGGCAGAACTGAGAGAGAAACTAGCGAAAACTCTGGAACCCTGAAGTTAGTCAAACTGTGCACACACATATTAGGTAAGATTTGTCTTCCATCAACAAATTGATGCATTTCATTTTTTCTCACCTGGTCAATGATTGAGTCCAGGGTGCTGAGTAACAGGAAGCCCCGTCCCCTGACCAGATACTCCCCCAGCGCCACCATGTGACTTTCCTCCTCATCTTCGTCCCGAGCCTCAGCTCTTTGAGCCACTGCACTGCATAGTTGGTGGACATCAGTCAGGAACTCCCTGGCCAGTGTGTTACTGGCTCCACTCATGTCTGAGCTGTCAAGGATGATATAAAGCATCAAACACTAATCAGAATTTTTCCAAATTATTTATTTAGTTTATTCATAGGTTTACCACAAGTAAAATAATTACGCTGCAAATTAAATAAAGACAAATCAAATATTTATACAAATCGCTAATGACACGGAGTACACTTAGAAAAAATAGAAATAAAATACTAAAACCAAAATGAATGTTATTTTAGAGTCTTGTGTAAAAGTTAAGTTTCTGTACTAGACGTTACTGTATCTTAATTTGTCATTAAAAGTCAACGAGGAATACCTTGTTGAGGGCATGTTGGTTAATCAGGATGGCATGGCAGATGATGCTACTACTTGTTATTGTGACACAGCACACCACTGCACTCGACAAAATGTAACCTCTGCTTTTAACCCATCACCAAAGTGAACAGTGGACACAGGGAGCAGTGTGTGGGGACGGTGCCATGCTCAGAGTACGTCAGTGGTAACTTGGCAGCTGGTGGACTCGAACCTGAAACCTTCCAGAGCCAAGTGTGCTTCCTTAACCACCAAGCCACCATGTGCCTCTACAGTATATCAGCCAAACTTTTACTGAACAGGACTAGTTTCAACTGATTATATTTAAGCTATTTTCTGTCTTACTATATATATATATATATATAAGTGATATATACATATATATACACATATATACATATATACATATATATACACATATATACATATATATACATATATATGTATATATATATATATATATACATATATCCTATTTTATGTTGGGTAGTAAATAACGAATATTGTAAAGACATTTTTATGTGATTTCTTTTTTTTTGTTTGATTAAGAGGTCATTGAGTGTTTTCTGCTGAAAATATTTTGCAGACTAGCATACTTATTTTGCATACTTTTTTCAGACTAGAATAAGCAACCACAATATTAGGGAACTAACTGTCATTAGGGAAATTCAGAAATGTTGTGTTTTGATGGCAGGATGACCTGACCGAAAAAACTGAAGTGGTTACATTGGAATAAATTGAAGTTGCTGTGTTTTCCTTAGTTCGTGTTACACATTTTCCCACTGATAACGTAGCAGTCTCTACTAATCAACTAATTAACAGCTGGTGCAAATCATCAGAGAAAAAATCTCATTTGTTTTAAGAAAAAAAAGGAATGGATCAAATTCAATTCAACACTTTGATGATGATCTGGGTAATCCCTAAACATCAGTACTTTGTGTAACAATAAAGAAATGGTTCTTGGAGGAAAAACTGTTACTTGGTACTTCAACAACTTCCATATTAAGGGAGAATTTAAATGTTTGCCTTGTGGAAACTGATTAGTTCTACTAATAACAACAAGAATGGGCATGGCAACAAACCATGACAATTGACTTTCTCCTTTCACAGACAGGTAGGTGAGAGTAATGGGTGTATGTTTACAGCACTTGTCAAAGGGAGTCTGGACCTGACATAATAACATTAATGCAAAAAAAGTCACTAAGTTGTGTGGACTAAAGTAACAGTTTGAAGGCAGTTGTTTTTAAAGCTTGTTCAAAGAAGACGACTTTACATCAGGAGGACATATAGACAAAACTTGGCCCTCATGTAATGACGCAAAGAGAAAAGTTAAAGACCAGAGTCTTGAATACTCTACTAAGGAGTGTGTTTTCCAAAAACAACTAGGTTAATAAGAGTAGAGCCTGAGACTGTTGACGCTGAGATTATAAAATTCACAAGGAAAATGTGATTCAAATTTCCTTTCCAACACTGCCCTAAAGAAGAAGAAATTGGAACTGATCTTACCAAATGTTACTGGCCACAAAGGTTTCCTTCCAGTCATCCTGTGTTTTCTCTAAGTCTGCGTGTACTTCTGCTGGCTGTATCTGCATACCTCCTCGCACCAGTGCTGACTGAATTTTCTGTTCTGCAGCACAAATTCCATTAAATTGGAATTTCAAATGGAAGCTTTCCAGATTCGCAGCAGATCAGCGTATCACATGAAAGCATGTGATGTCACATGGCAAGGGACTGGCCTCAAGTATACTGACAACCCTCCAGGGCGCAGGAGGACCTCCGTAATAGGGCGTCATTTACAAGAACTAGCAAAAAAACAAACACTTACAGTAATTGACTGACAACAACTTGATGCAACTACATTTGTTTAGATATAAATATTTGGTAGAAACTCCCAAATAAAATAAATAAATAAATCCAACAGGGACAACATTTAATCTGTTTAATAATCCTGATTGTGTTTTTGTGGTTGTGTAAAAATGACAGATTCAAACCTTAAATCTGAGACCTAATTCACCATGTTTAATGTTTTTTTCACTATTTATTTATCAGCTTGCCTTTTAACTGGGCTTTTAGGTGCAAACAATTTTTAAATGTATATACTTTTATACTTTTTTGGCCAGATTTGAGTTATTTATAAGATAAGAAGTCCTTTATTGGCCCCACAGAGGGGAAATTCAAACTTTATATTGTTATATTTTAGCATTTTATATATCCAGGGATGTTAATCATAAAAGCTTGTGCAAATATCACCTTATTTACCAAGAATACCAAGAAAATGATTCCTCTGGGGCAGTGGTGGCTTAGTGGTTAAGGAAGCAGACTTGGGTGCGAAAGGCTTTATGTTTGAGTCCACCGGCTGCCAAGTTACCACTGAGGTGCTCTGAGTGTGGCACCGTCGCCACACACTGCTGCACGGGCACTTAAAGCTGCCCCCTGTTCACTATGGTGATGGGTTAAAAGCAGAGGTCACATTTGGATGTGTGCAGTGGTGTGCTGTGTCACAATGACAAGTAGTTCACTTTCATATTGTAGAATATTAGCCGTCTTTGTAATATGTAAGGGCAAATTTGATCAAGTTGATTTTGGGATTTATTTGGGGCATGAAGGGTGTCACACAATGTCCTTTTTATATATTGAACATGTCTTAACAACAGCATGAATCCATGTCCAAAACCAACTTCAACTGGTAAGTGACTGAACATTTTCAGTCACATGACTCCAAATGTACCTACATACAGTTGTTAATATGACATTAACTTTATTTCTTTATTTTCCAAATATCTTCCAATCTGCTTACTCTATTAACAAATGCAGAGGAATACATTTTTAAAGTAAAACTTTCTGCACTCTATGTCTTGTCTCTTAGTATACATATGTGCAAAGCGCCTGTGTCCCTCCCTCTTCTTCTCTGTATCGCTCTCTCTGTGTGCCAGATAAATATAAATATCTCTTATTAACTCATAAGACAAGTGACAGTAATAGTCAGGCAGGTGCAGCAGAAGCAAGGAGGGGTTATCTTTCACTACTAAAAAAATCCTAAAACAAACATTAAATCTCTCTTGATCTAAACGGTCAGTTTTACACCACCGTCCTCCCTGCTGTCATATTCATGAGGCTGTGATTAAAGGCCTTCTAAACACAGACAAAGCTCTAGGTCACATTTGCAAAACGTGGCATCTCCTCCTTCAGCACTACAAGTTTATGTTTCCTCTGCAGTCCTGCACTTCAGAGCCTTTGACAGTTCTCACTGGGCACCGTTACTTTATTGCAACAGGAAAAGAAACTTCCTTTTTAATTATCGTTCAAACATTTATTTTATAGTCATGCTTCAATATGAACCATTACATCAAACTAAATTTACATTTATTGGATCATGCTCATCTGTTTCCTGTAATCTGTAATATTACTATATATAGTTCGGCACAGAGTACAGTTCACAGACATCTATTAGTAAAAATAAAAAATGATTTCTTGAAGCATAATTTACATGACCCAGACATTTTGCTGATGTGGCAGGAAGGACATTTGTCATGAAACCCTTGCCAAATCAAATAGCAGTTTAAAGACTGTTGGTCAAGGGTGGAGTAGAGGGAAATGAAAATATGAGATGAAGGATGTCGCAGTTGAAGCCGCCAGGCAGAAGAAACAGAGAAGAGGCCAGGGAAGATTCACAGATGGAATAAACATGTACAGACATGAGGATAGTCCACTGGTTATTATGGGACTTTTTGTATATTTGGTGTTTAAAATTAGACATCTGTCTGATTTAAGTGGTAGGTTAAAAGCAGGGCACAAGTAGCTAAGGAACTGCATTTTGTCAATAGACTCACTGTAGTACTGTAGTGTATACTGTACTACAGTACTACTGTACACTAATACTACTGTAGTACTGTAGTATTTCTTGTTAGTAAGACAAATCTTTCTGCTGCATGTCCCTCCTGGCTGCTTCATTCCGTTTTGTGTGTGTGCGTGTGACAACGTGGCTCAGGACCAGTCACTGCAGAGTTTGTGCTAACGTGCACTGTTCAATACCCAAAAAACCCACAAACTTTACCTTTTAAAAAGGATATTATTTCAAGCCTTTTAACCAAGCCCAATTTTAACTAATCACTTTTCAGCCAAAGGGAACAAAAAGCTCATGAATGTTAATACTTTGTTTCAGGTATTGTGTGTGTGTGTGAGTGTGTGTTATTTACTCTGGACAGCCTACAAACAAGAGGTACTTCAGGTGCCTAATGTGCCATGATTTCTCTCATCATTATGTAAATCTATGCAGCACTTTACACTCAAATCTAACGCACCGTGAATATGTAAGGCCCGCAATCTCTACTTTACTGGTCGGACATATAAATGAGTAAAATAAATCTTTCAATTCTTCAGTGAATTCTATTTTGCCATGACTGAAGCTCGGCTGTGTAGTTACTGCACATTGGCCATGTCGTAGTATTTGTTTGCTGAGGTATCTGTAGTTTAAATTTACCATTTAGGTTTGAATTATTTTTCATGTCAAAAACAAAGAAAACACCTTCGGGGAAAACCGTGGGTAAGTTGAATAAAGGATTATGGAGATGAAGCTGAAAGGCAGAACAGAAACAGGAAGACCTCAGAGAAGATTTACTGAAGTGGAGATGATGGTTGGTTTAACTGCAGATGAGGCAATGGATTAGGAAAGACCGAGGCAGACGATGAACGGCGCAATGTTAAGTCGTGAAGACAGCTGCAGGAACATGAGTAAGAATCTCTGAGAGAAAATGTAACGTATTCGCAACCACAGACACCACCTACCAGAATTTCAGTGCATCTTTGGTATTGTTGGGGTGATGCTGCACATAGTGGAAAAGGCAGAGGAAATTCTCCAGACTCTGAAGACTGACCTGGTAAAAGACAGAAAAACTGGATGAAACACAAATCATACAGATATAGAGTTTATTACAAGAATCGCTTTGTCAAAATTACAAACTCAGTTTCAAATCCAGATTCCTATAAATATAACACGTGCAGCTGCTAACCTGTTAAATAACCTTTCAAAATCTTTTGACCATATTAGTGTAACATTCTTTTTTACAGTTCATCGCAGACATCTATTATTTACAAATTATTTAATTGTTCATTAAGTAAGTGTACAAACCTTTGCTAAAATGGTGTTTGCAGAAGTAACAACAAAGATGAATATAAACAGTAAATGAGAATGTGATTAAATGATTCATATCACCATGTGATATTTATATTTATAAATAAAAAGTGACAGAAAGTAATTTATGTCAAGGACACACTTCACATTCTGGGAGGACATTAAATTCCAAAACAATCTGATATATTCAAACTGGCAGCATGGAAATCTTTATATATTTTTTTAAATTACTTAGTGAAGAGTCTCTGTGGAAGCGGAGCCCATGTAGAGATGAAATGAGCTTCGTCACACTGCAGTCAGTGTCAGACCGAGGAGCAGGAATCTCTCTGAAGTCTTAAACAGCGAGACCAGCCACCTGACTGCTTTAACCATGTTAGTGCTTCCAGAGTAGTGCGTTAAAACCTTCCCGCCAGACGTGCTCACACAGCCACTGTTCCACCGCCTTTTTACGCCACACAAGGACTTAGCTTTGTGCCTCTGATAATCCGACACCACTAACTGGGTTCATTCTGACCAAACTGATCCCTGACTGTGTGTCAATACTCTGAGCGTCTGGGGTCACAAAGCCAATGAATACACACCGTCACTTCCAATTACATTACACACAGTCTGACTTGCAATTATAGTGGCAGGATGGAAGGACCAGCAACATGCAATTGACACACAAGTCTGTTGGTGTTTTTTGTCATTTACTATCCTCATTTACATTCTTATGTAAAAATAAATAAATACAACTTTTGTGTTGTTTTATAATTTACACCAAACTAATTCACCTTTCTCTTTCGCTCCAGGGGCAGAACAGGTTCTGGCTTCTGAGCCAACTTCCGTGTGTGTTTTCACTATCAGAACATGTGATGTTGGATAGCAGACAAAAATGCATTTGAACTTGAACGTAGTGCACACACACAAAAAATGCAGCATGTTGGGATACAAAGGACTATTTATATACGTATTTGTTTCTACCATCCTCACATTTTGGAAGCCTCACTTGAGTGCTTCCTGATTTCCTATTAAGGTCACGCCCAGGTTCAAATCAAGTGAAGTGAAGTGAAGTGAAAGTAAACTAGTTGTCATCGTGACACAGCACACCAGTGCGCACAACAAAATGTGACCTTTGCCTTTAACCCATCACCAAAGTGAACAGTGGGCAGCTCAAGCGCCCGGGGAGCAGTGTGTGGAGACGGTGCCATGCTCAGAGCACCTCAGTGGTAACTTGGCAGCTGGTGGATTCCGACCTGACCCTTAATATTATTATTATTAAAAAAAGCAAACCAGTTTTGTCACACCAAACATTTCCTAAAGTAGTTCTGTATACATGGCATTAATTACAGTAAGTCTAATTTTCACTCATCAAAGCACAGCACAGGGTCGTTTGTATAAGTGTGAAACTGATTTACATGCTCATCATGTCCAAAGCACTCCAGTGCAGTGTGATTTCACTGCAGATACTGAGGTGCCTGAGTTCATACTTGGAATTCTTCTGCCCTACTAAGATATTAGCCATGTAAACACCTACATATCCTACATATATGTTTGTTTGTTAGTTTTTTACAGAGGGTATTAGCTACACCTGGTGGTGGCAGCATCATGCCTCTGGGCAGTTTAACTTCAGCAAGAGATTTATAGGAATGGAATGGCTGCATGGATTTACATAATGATGAGAGAAATCATGGCACATTAGGCACCTGAAGTACCTCTTGTTTGTAGGCTGTCCAGAGTAAATAACACACACTCATACACACACACACACACACACACACACACACACATTTATAGGAATGGAAATGGAAAAGCAGGAGTTTACACTGATCAGTTTGAGACAAAATGTCCAAGGGGTCTGAGAGAAAGTTGGACAAACATTTCACATTACAAAATAACAATGACCCCGTGGCTAAAATTGCATGGAATAAGAGAGGGGGAATTAAATTGATTTGTAAATAAAATGAACAAATTCTAGCATAAAATGTCTGGGATAAATTTAGAATTATTTTCCTCCTACGTCACAAACATTGTCTTTTCAATAGACCTTTGACATTCACAAGATATTCACATTAGGCAGGGAGCATGTGAATCAATCCCATATGGATCCAACTTTTTGGACCAAATTGCATCTCAAACTGCCCCAAACTCTAATATTGTCTTCCACCTTTGTAAGTGAAAAAGACAAATGTCAGACTGAGCGGTTACTGTGATGGCACAACACAGGTTGGTAGTGAGTCAACATGCTTGCTAGTTGTCAACAGTAAAAGGAAAACTTTACTTTGGAAGTCACAACCATAGTTAATCATTAGACTGAGAAATGCAAACAAATATAAGCTTAAACTTTAGGTGATAATGATGCAGACTGAGCCACACTCACCAAAGTCAAGAAGAGACAGAGAGGACGAAACATCAACAACCAAGCAGAGAAGAAATGGTTGGGTTTAGGGGCATGTGGAAGTCACTGCACATCAGAGGGCTGGACAACGTCACACACAGGAGATGAGAAAAGGCAGAAAAGGAAATGAACAACTTAGGAGACAGAAGTATAAAACGAAAATTACATAATGGTAAATGAAAAGAAATGCAGCAATTATTGAGATAAAACAAAGGAGACCGAAAAAAGCCCAATTTGTTGGTTTAAAAGCAGAAGCTATGTTGGACAGGTGCGCTCTGACTTCAATAAAAAAACAAAAACTAAAATGAAAATCTATAATTTGGCATTGCCCTTGTCTTATCAGTGCACCTATTTTGGGGCACATTCTTTTTTCGCACAGGAAACTGAGTGATTTACAATAACAACAGTTTTGGTGGAACTGAGTTGCTTTTTCCTCCGAGGGTCTAATTCAATATCACAGAGCACTCAGCAGCACAAAGCAGCCAGGGTGATTTGACAGTGGGAGACTGCCAATACAGATTAATAAAGCTTAGAGAGGAAATTTGACAGAGCCCATTACCGCAAACAAACAGAAAGCTCTGACTTTTCCTCTGCTGTGATGAACCCTAAATTGCACAGGTAATCTGTGGGGTAGAGACAATGAGCTGTTTTCACTAGCTAATTACCACATATGCTAATCAAAATGAAATTTCTACAGTTGGCCTGCATATTAATTGGGAAATTATTTGAAATACATGCAAAATAATTATGTTTTTTACGACTTGTGCAATAACAGTAATAATAAAATATTATTAATAACAGAAAATATATATACTATATACCTTTAATACCTGTCATCAGAGTAAACTAAACAGAGTAAACTGAAAAAACTAGACAGGCAGTGTGAGCTTCTGCCAAACCTTTAGCTATTTTTGCTACCTTTTCACCAAAAGTTTCTGTTATTACATGCCCTGTTATGTAATAGCTCTGGGTTGTTTTATTTAATAAATCTCTGCATCTTGGTATAATGCTTTGCAAAGCCCAGTGATCTAAATGACTACCAATAAGTTTATATTTCTGACAGAAGTATGGCTACAAACCCTAAAGACCTAAAGTGTCCACCTAAGAAAAAAATAAAACTCCTCACAAAAAAAAATTTGTGGTTGTGTTGACGTTTCCTTTGTTCTTGCTGCCAGACACATTGCAACACTACGTATGACACAGTTGAGCTACACTTGTTCTGTTCTGACAGAAACTTTGTGTTTGAAGACAGGTTTTCTCCATAATAGTATAAACTGATACAAGTAAAGGTGTTCTAATTTGTGTGCTGGTCAAAACTGAGCACAGATACAAACGTCTTTCATGTTGTGTTTTAACAAATATACTATGAAACGAAAGGAAGTGTTGTAAAGGTGGCACAGCTCTGTGGGTTAGGGTTAAGTAAGTGTGCGAATGAGGACTCAACCCAAACCACATTGTCAACTGCATAAAGCCAGTTTTATGCATGATTATTGAGCATTGATACATCTGTTAAAATCATTCATAAGAATCCCAAAGTAAAAAAACAGGGTTGAAATTGTTAAAAAACAACAACAAAAAAACCTTGGGATAAATTTAATCCCATAGTTTGAGACATGACCTGCCTTTAGCATGCGTGGCTTAGTCATGGGTGTCTGGTGACTGAATCACCCTGGCTGCTACAGACGCTCCTCTCAAGCTTTCTTCAGATAATTGGGTAAACTAGAACTTGGCAAAGTCAGTGAAAGCGATGTGATCCTGTCCTCGTGAGAAAGGACACGCAGCATTGGTTACGCAATGTTTTTTTTCCTGTTTTGAGATCTCGGCTGATCTAATTTGACATTTGGGTTATAAGCATCATGAGGAGTGCCTAACGTTCTGCATTTCCTCACAAACTACAAATCAGATAGCAAAGCCTCTACACACAACACTGCAGATAACTTTCACTCCTTAACGCATGCTATAATGTCAAAAGGCTACCATCAAAAAGGACGCTGGTGCTTGTCTCAGACTCAGACTCTCACAAACAGTAACCTTTATCCAAGAGTAGCCACTGTGAAGGAAATGAAAACGTGCTGATCTCTGCTCTATTGTTTTTTTTTTATTACAGAGAGATAGTGTCCAGGCTGTTGTTGGTGAAAATTACCATCCAAAAAGCCTGCTTTGGCCTTTCTCTTCCCTTGTGGCCTGAGGCTGACTTTTCGATGGGAGAGATCTGAATTAATAAACTGCCACTGGTTGGAAAAAAAGCTGATGCACAGCACTGGCTGGAGTCTGACTCAGTCCAGAAGTAGAGAGATGAATAATTCATCCATTCAGCCAAGCGTTTAGAGCTGCCCTGGAGACCAGAGCCGGTAAAAGATAGGCTGGAAACAAGTGGAACAACAAATGCAGATGTGAAAGGTGTCCTGTGGTCAACCAGTGGTGATTGCAGAGCCACTCAACTGAGAAGACACTGGTAAACAATGACATAAAAAGGAAAAAACGCTGCTAAAAAATAGCACTTATAACAGCCTGGGTTCAAAGTTGTGTGATGATCACAAGGTGTTTGTGATCAAAGTCTGCCTGCATGCTTTTTATGTTCGGACTGTGGCGAGTAATTTGCATTCAGTTAACAACTCCCCTTTCTAGTTTTACTAGAGCCCTCTGCAAATTGAATTTAAATGTTGGATAAATGTGCTGAATAATCTGAGTGATGTCACACAGGTCTATAATATAAATATTTTATATGGATAGTTTTTTTTTGTTATTGTTGCGGTTGTTTTAAGGAAGTTGTTGTACCTATGCAGACAACAGACAAACACGACATTCAAATTGCACTGTGGAAAGAATAGACAGCTAGATGCTAACAAAACTTTATTGTATTTCCTGCTTACTCTCTGGTAAGGCTTGTAGATATTAACAGAGTCCATATAGTGATTGAAATATTATAAAGTTAAGTAACATTGAAGACAATAGTTTCTCTGTTCAACGACTGATGAATGATAAGGATGAGCAATGAAAGCACTCGGTGCTTCAGCCCACGTCACCACTGCACTGACACAGATTTGAATCTACTCACATTTTAATGGAGACAATTTCTTGTGAGCACGAGCAGTTAAACATATTACAGCTGACTGCCAAACAAACTGCACAGGATATTGTCTCTGATAATGTATTCAGGCAGGCAATGTGCACAGAGCAGCTTATACCATCATGTCACAGGGGTAAAGTTGGGCGGCTCTCAAATTGTTTAATCTTGACAAGTAAAAACTAGACAAAAAGAACAAACACTGAACAAGTTTTTTTGTTTAAATATGCATTTCCACATTGTGCTCGGCTCCATGAGGTTCAATCTTCCTTAGACATTCAGTTTTACCTCTAGTAGAATGAAAACACAGGCCTGATCTTGGAAAGCTAAGCAAATCTGGCCAAAATGTTTGACAAGTTTTACATCACTTGACTTGTTCAAACAAAGACTTTCCATTACAACCTATCACTTCGATAAACTGTACAAAACCTTAAAAATACTTACAAGACGAGTGGGGTCAGACTGCCGCAAAGAAAATGCAAATAGATGAAGTAGTCCAACAAATTTAGATAGCTGTCTAATGGGAGGTGCTTGATGTCAAACTGAAATCTGAACTGAAAGCCAATTACCTTTGACTGCTGGCAACAAAAAAAAAAACAAAACACAAAAAGTGAAACCCTTCATACTAACACCACCACTAACTTCACTCGTGTGTTTTGAAACATCCTGTTACCTCATGTTGAAAGCAACAATACAGAGGAAACTGAAACTGTTTCTCTCTACAAACAATATGATTTTTTAAAAATCACCTTTTTAATTAGTATACGTTTTTTAAAGAAAATTTCAAGAAGAGATACTTTTTTAACATCAGCGACAGATTTTCCCCATCAGACTTAGTTATTTATAAAAAAGATTAAACAGTGAATGTGTTTGTGAGGTGTCGGTAGTAATAAAGAAAATAATTTTCTCAGGAACAGAAACATGGCAAAATTACATTAAACAGTGTTGTCCCTTTAAATGAAGCATTACTGTTGTGAGAAAGCAGTCAGAACAGAAAGAGAAACAAAATCAAAGTGAGGTCAATCATCAGCCAGTGCTGACCTAACCCAGGGTTACTTCAGAAATAAACACCAGAGACAGAAGAGAAAAATCAACACAGAAGGAAATGTACTCCTTCACATTAACTGTTAAACATAACTTTGGTTTAATTTTACACTTCTTTTTGTTGGACACAAATGTACGACGTCCAGAACACGTTTTCTTCATAAGATAACAAAATTCTTAAAATTTCTGACTAATCGGCCCAGTACGGGTCCTGAGTATCGGATCGATGCCATCGCTACTAACTTCTATTTTTATGAAAAACGTAAAACATCCTCCTGTAACTTTAGGGACTACTTCAGATGTTTTCAGTATGTTTTGCACAAGCCCGTGTTCATTTTTGACCCTGTTGTGTCAGTAAATCACATGGAACAGCAGCTCAGCAATTCATCGTGATTGTTGTCCCTAATCAGATTCCATCAGGAAGGAGGGCAAACTGAAGAGCACAGATGATCTCACTTCAGCATCCTTCAGTCGCCTATCACACACAAACAGGCGCACACACGTGCTCAGACACACAAAGGCGCCAAGTGGAGAAGCAAACACAGTCGTCCCAGGGGAGACGTCACATCCAAACGTGACATGAAAAGTTGCCATGAATAGAACAGCAGACCCCGCCTTCTGCAATCAATGTGTTTACGTCATGGCAACTGAAAAACCAGCAACATTTCCAGAGCTGACATCCCGATGCACAACAACATGATTAACAAGGCAATGAAGCAGAACAACAACTCAAGACAAGACATCTGCAGGACGAGGAAGTCGGGAAGCAAGGTTTCCAGGAAAGATAAAAAGAACAGAGGCTTTTCAAACAGCGTCCATTAGATTAAAATATAACGGCTGCTGTTTCTGCAGAATTATTGTGTGTGTGTTTATCAGGGTCGGGCCGGAGGTCTGATCTTAATCCTCATCTCATGATCTGGCCTCTGCTGGTTGTGTGTAAGTGGAGCTGCTGAGGCCTGACAGAGATTTTGTGCTCTGGCTCATTTTTGTGATACACTGTGACACAACTTGTGGTTCACACCTGCATCCACCTTAGTGTGTCGAAATGACTCACCAATGCTGCATTAGTATATTTCGCTTCTGTGCACACAAATGAACACGTGACACAAACTGACATCCTGGACAGGTCTGTAAGCAGCTCTCAGGAGACATACAGAGCGTTTTTTAAGTTCAAAGACAGTGAGACTGGAAAACACCTACTGAGTAACTCATTATCTTATGATACTCCCAGTACACTTACACAACTTCATACAGTAAGCTCAGAAACGGTACGGTAAGCAAAGAAAAATCAAAACATTTGTGTGGTAATTATGTCCCAGTAAAATGTCAATAAGGTCACTGTATGTTTTGAGTTTTACAATAGATTCTATAAACTGCAAATCTCTGTAGACCAGCTAAGCCCAAAAAGTACTTTATTCAGCACAAATCCAAGGAAAAGATTAAGAGAATTAATCTCAACACTGTTTGCCATTGTTGGATTACTGTGTGTGACCGCAGATTCACCTAACAGAGAACAAATCCTAATTCACCACCAGAACTATTTAAATGCATTATGCACTACATTTTGGAGTGTGTCCTAAAACTGCCTTGGGTTCATTTTGCCAAATTTAAATTAACAAATGAATGCTATATTTTTCCTTTTTCTCAATTTGTACTTTTAGCCCTTTTGTGTCTATTAGGTATTTCTTTGTTTCTGTTTATCTTAATTGTCTTTATTAAATATGGAGGCATTCTCTAGCTTGGATCAATATATTGTGTAACTTTTGTTTATTTATCAACCATGTTTTTGTACCTTTTTTGCCTACTTTTATTATTTCTACTACATTTCTATAGGTTTTTTTTAGTTTTGGTTTATTGCATAGTGCTAATAAATGATGGTTAAATTTTACTTTTTGTATGCCAGATTAAGTTGGTTTTGGAAGGTGTCAGAGAGCGAAAATCGTACTTTAGAACACTGCTATAAAATAATTTTATTAAAGCCTTTCAGAAAAGAGCCTTAAGCTCACAGTATTGGATTTGAGCAGGAAAGAAACAAGAGTGATTTTAAAAGTATTTATCATCTGCTCCTACCTGCAGATCTGCTCCTTGCAGCCTACAGTCCATGTACTTTTCCCACGCATATGACAGTTCAGTCTGCTGAACACCGGCCATGGTCGTGTTGTACAGCAGTCAGGCCAGAGACAGGAATGACTTAATTTCTCCTGCAGGTCTTCTCCCTGCTCCTCCAGGTGACAGAGAGTGACCCGGACAGAAGGGGACCAATCCTCAGATCTTCTCCTGAGTCTTTCATATCAGCCTCATGATTTTCTGTCCTGTTCCTTCACTTTTCAACTGGACTCTGCAGAAAAACAGAGTCAGTGTGGTGGAGCCAAAATAATCAGCTGACAATAACAGCAGCATATTCTTTTGCCTCTCTTAAATTGCTTTCTGACATGCGTTTGATTCAGACTGAAACAGAAACTTTGAAAAGACCGGATCGACACATACTGGCATTATCCATTACAAAAATAAAAAATAAAAACAATATAAAAAACGACTAATAACACACTCGGTTATTGTAGCTAGCACGTCTGACATAAGCTGCGTCAATGAGTCTGCCGAATTCAATACATCCACTTCCGGTAGCAGATTTCTGCTGTCACAATAAAAAAAGAACTCTTGAGTTAAGGCTTGAATTATAAAGTTATAAATACATTCGCCTCATACAAGAAATTACATTTAAGTGACGACACAAAACATGTTACTGGTCGAGTAATATAAGCTGTAAACAGTAAAAAATAATGTTTTTTGTGCAGGAAACTGTTAAACCCACTCCGAACCTTAAATGAAAAAAACAAAACAAAACTGCATAGATAGTAGAAGAATGCATTTAAAAAGTAGTTGTTGCAGTTGTAGCTCAATGGTATAAGTAACAACAGTAATACCAAATTTATGTATTAAAATAACGAAAAACAAATTTATATTTTTCAATCATTGAAATTTTAACGATTTAAGATTGAATGCAGTAGGGAACATTTTGTTTTGAAAATCCAGCTATCTACCTGTTTCCATTACTTCATCTGTTTCGACTACAACAGCTCAGTCACGAAAAGTCGCAAATTCAAATAAAAAAAATATTTGCTTAAAAGCTGGTTTTCCTCTCAGTGTTTCTATAGCAAACAATTTCTCCCTCGACTTAATATTTTCCAAAAACGCATTACCCAGTCCCGACAGTTTTCTTTCCTACAGTATAACGTGGCTGCAGTTAAGCTGCTGTAGCATCGCATCTATGTTCGGCAGCTGTCAACACTGAAGCAGAGACTACGACGCGACTTAAACGTTGTTGAAAAAATAAATCTACGCTTCTGTTACAAACCTGTTTTTGTTAGAATTAATATACCAAGTTTGCGTTATTAAAGAAAATATTTTTATACACACCTTTTCTCCTGAAATGAGAGGCAGCTAATGCTATCCTCCTTCCAGCAAAGCAAGTGTATTGGTGCGATTAAACCCTGCACGATGACTGGAAGGCAGCAATATTGCCGCCCCTTTTCCTTGTCTACTGTCTTACAGAAAATATAATACATTTCTGTAATATTTCATGTAAACTTTGTATACAATATATAACAACATAGAATTCAAATCCATATAATACTAGACTGCTGTTGTTAAATAACATCTTATTTACTCAACGGTAATTAACATTTTAAGCAGATTTTTATGATGAAAGCATGAATTTGGACAACACACCTTAAATGTGTCAAATATTTGCATTTATTGTAATTTCAATTTTTTTTGTTCTAAATCATCGTGACGCTAGGTTGCCGTGTTTAATTTTGTCCACAAGGTGGGAGTATTTCCTTTCGCATGTATGGTACCCATCTATCCTGTCGTAGGTTCAAACGATTTAGGTTAAATATTTGACAAATTAATCAAAGTAGTTCCAAAACAATAATGTGTTCACAAACTTTGGAAGACTGGAGAACATTGAAATAAAAAATGTAGTTGTAATACACAGTACCAAACACCAGGTGTTTCTCTCCTACCACAGACAGAACAAGCAGACCAACACGTTAGAAAAAAACTTTATTCTTTTGTTGCCCGACATGTAAACGCATTCCAACAGCTTGTTTAGACATTTTTACTCCAACTATTTCTTAAATACTTCTATGAGACAACACATGGAATAATCCAAACATGCCACAATGTAACACAGCCCACGTGAGATGATGTCACACATTACTGTGATTAATTTCACATTAAATTATACTGCATGTCCCTTGAGTCTCTGTTTATGTGCACTCAGGAAATAATTCAATATTATAGTGTTTATATTTACAATTCTGAAGGGCAAATGTGATCTTATAAAGGCGGTGGGAAAATGTCGAGAAGCATGACACTGAAATATAAAAGGCACAGTGAGTTCACCTCTGGTTTACAGTGGCATTTTCAGCAGCTATAGTTTAGTAATGCTGAGGGGCTCCTAATTTGTGATCAAACTTCCAAACAGTGTCATGGCTCAGCTGCCTCAGGTCAGTACCCGTCTCTCTCCACGCAGCCCACACCCACAGCGTTACTGGGACATTTGCAGGAGCGGCCGGTTGGTGTTGCTAAACAGAGGTGAGTGCAGCCCCCGTTGTTCACAGCACAGTAGTTTTGTCCTGGTGGAGCAAGAAAATATACAAACTAAATGAATGCTGCAGTACAAACAAATCATCCGGCTCCGCAGAGAGGAGCAGCAGGAAAAGGGCTCTTCACTATTTGTTGAACAGAAACAAGCATACTTTAAGGTAACAGCTGGCCAATTCCAGATGTTGGAGGCCCCTCTCCCTTTGCTCCACATTCCCTGGCTTAATACATGCAGCCTTATCAAGAAGGGGGAGTGAGGCCTGGTGTTGCACAGTAACATCAGTCATGCCTCCACTACGTGATTGAGAATAGCTGCAGAATTCTTTGTGCTACATTCAGGGTTGAGGTTGAGGTTGAAGCTGTGATTTCTCAGCTTTTTCAAGCTACCCTAGAACTACTCCTTGGCTGTCGGTTCACGATGAGTAGATGGAATGAGTTATTGAGCAGACTCAACAGTAACCCCGAGGTGAACAAGGGTCATACTACTTCTAAGTTCTAAGAATGGCTCTTCATTGGGTCTGCACATTGGTGACAGATGTATTGAAAACCTGTCCACAGACCGTGGTCAGAAGTTAGCAAATGTCTGATCAGAATTATAATAGCAGAGGTAATAATGTCCCTGTGTTTGTGATGTTAGGGAGAAATATGATTGTACCAGCTAAGGTTAGCTAAGATATTGCTCCAGATTGGCTCAAAGCTAAAGTCACCAGCTAAATTGTAAAAACAGGAAAAACATTGGCCAATCTATAATACACTAAAAACAACTCAACAAAAAACAAAACAACAAAAAGGCTAAATAGGCTAAAAAGAAAACAAAAAAAGCTTCAATTCAGCCTTGTAATGGCTAACTGTTAGCTATAATTAACTAACACATTTGACACAGCTGTCTTGCTAATGATGCTAATTGTTACTGAAACATATATTTATTTTATCGCCTATTTTCTATTTAATATCTGGTGGTGCTGCAGCAATGTAACTCTGTACTGGTACCTGAAGGACACTGGGCGTAGGCTGTGGTGATTCCATACAACTTAGTCTGTTTCTGTGGTTGGAACTCGGCTGATTCCCTGGCAGCGTATCGATCTACTGCAATCACAGCATCCCTGTTTAAAACAAATAGGAAGAAGGTTCAACAAATCTGTGAGAAACCAGACTTGGTAAATGTCAGAGCTCCGCCTTCAGACTGTTGAGTTCACTGTAAGTCTGACAAAAATGAAGAAGAGTTTACGGATGATTGTTTTGGACATAAATATCCTTTAATAGGAAACCAGATTTGTAAAGGAGTAGCAGTGAGGGTAACTAAAGTGTGGATACCCCACCTCCACCTTTCAACCTTCTATAGAGAGGTTGTAGCCTTGGCAAGATCACAGAGGAGGCCCTGGGCAGTTCACTCAAAGACGCTGAGACTGAGAAATTGCAAGCAGCTGCCACTTTTTAAGATGCCTCCTCACCCACACACAAACACGTACACACACACACACACACACACTAAGTTGTCCCAACCCCCATCTTTCTGGTAGTGGATATCATCGGCCAGCACACAGAAAGTGTCCAAGTGTGGGGGAACTACAAGGACTCATACTGAAAGTGCTGGGAGTACTTTGACCTCTGACCTACACTCTAGCTCCTCCATCTGGACAGAACTTCACGGAGGAGACACAGATCAAGGCAGCCCTAACTCATTCATGGTTTAATTTAGAAATTCATCTTCTGCAGCTTTATCGTTTTTAGCATGGCAAGATGGGTAATAAGGTGGGGGTTTGGGAGGGGTACAGTTACCCAGAACATCACAAGGCCACATAGGTACAGAACCAAACAACCATTGACACTCAGAGTCATATCTGTACTCCATTTGAGTGTTGAATTAACCTAATCTGGATTAACCAATTACATCAAATTCATCTGTGTAGTAATTTAAAAACAACCGAGTAAAATGCAAACATTAGAATACATTTTTTAATGTGTGTATTTTTTAAAACCTCTTCTGAACAGTATAGTAAGCCAATGGTAATTATGCAAGAATAAATCAGACCTTCGCCAGTCAGTGTAGTAGAGGTTCCTGCCAAAGGAGGTAACTCCGAATGGATACTGAACCCCCTCAATAACCTTCCTGCGGTCTCCCTGGGCCGGGTTCATGCACTCCACTTGATGTGTGCCTGCAGGTGAGAGATTCCACTTAGTGCTGATCATAAAGGCTTACATCATTTCACAGCTGAGTCATCTGTCTACTGTCTACAGTCTACAGCACCTGCATCTGCCCAACAGAGCAAAGAACTCTGGGAGTCCAACGTCAGGCCATTTGGCAGGCCCAGATCATCCTTCACCAGCACCCTCCGGTTGGAGCCATCCATATACGAGGTCTCAATTTTGGGAGCTTCACGGTTCCAGTCCGACCAGTAGAGAATACTGTTGTACAAATAACCACAATTTAGGACAAGGTGGAATTAAGCCCAGAACCTCCAACATGGCAGGGGCCACTGTACCCCTACAGAGGTTTTTTTTACTTTGGTAGTTAATATTCAAGAGCAAAAACACTTTTACAGACCCGTTGGCAGGGTCTGTGACAATGGCACGAGGGGTGACGAGGGCGGGATTCACCATGAAAACATGGGACCCGTCCAGACTGGCTACCTCGATGTGATCCTTCATGGAATCTGTCCAGAACATGGTTCTCCCCAAGTGATCAATGGCAATACCCTCAGGGCTGGACAAATCTGTAGAGAGTTCCTTTTCATTTCAACAGTTTCTTTCTCTTCTTTTTTCTTATTCACTGAACACATTATTTAAGGCTAAAAATGAAAGTACAGTAGAGAAGATCTCACCTGATCTAATGACGGCCACCGGCTCCCCTCCCTGGATGCTTGCTCTGCTGATGGAGGGAGATGTGATTTCACTCCAGTAGACCATTTTCTCCACACAGTCGTAGGCCACTCCGATGATTACCTTTTCCTGTGGAAGAGTCAACAAGCAATCTTTGAAGGGTTTCAAATGTGTTTGTAGATAAAGACCAAACGTGAAGCAGATGTGTGTGTGTGTGTGTGTGGGGGGGTTCTTGTTCTTTCTTGACGTTCAAGTCTAGACGTAAATCCAAACAAACAGAGTCACATGCTCAGAGTGAGTCCTCAGAACAGACTCCAGGACAGCTGCTTTGGCAGCTTGTAATTCCAAAGATGTCTGGGTGATGTTTATAATTAGTTTGAATGTCACCATGTGCCTCCAATAAAGAGCATGCCTTAAATGTATGTATGGAGCAGAGGGAGTCAGGACAGAACTGGTATAGGAGTGGATGGATGGACAGTAACTGGTCACTGCTAACAGAACTTTTCTTCGCTTTAAAAGGTGACACATCCTCCAGTCAGTCGATCATGGCCCTGAGATGTGTTTATGTGGCTCCTAAAATTTCTAAAAGTATTTTTCCTTTTTTAAACGTTTGATTATTTTTGCCATTTTACTGTAAGTTATCTAGGGGAGATTTTTACATTTCGACCCTGTATCTTAACTGCATTTTCCATTTCTCATTTTGTGTGAGGCATTTCCTGTTTCTCTATTTCCCTTTTCCTGTTGTTTCTACTTTGGCTAGGCATTTTTACTTTAACTTTAATTTAAGTCTAGAGTTCATGTGTACCAAAAGCAACTTATTACTATTGTTTGTTTGGCTTTGAGTTGTTTTAAACTTTAAACTTTTTCTAATTACATTATTAAAATTTTTAAATATCCATTATGGGCCAGATCCTATGGTTGACTCTACGTTTACACAGTTAAATTAAGCACAATCCTGTCCTTGTCCTTTTACAGCTAATCTAGAACACTGTTTGCGACAGGCTTAAGGAGCAAAATGGAATAGTTTTTGACAAGAGATACATTAGCATGTAGGCTAACAGGGTCTAATGCAGCAAAGCAGTACTCTGAAGACGTCCTACAGTGAAGAAATACATTGACCAATCAGTAGATTGTTCAAAAGAGGGGGGTTTCCTACTGGCTGCTTTCATATCAACATCGGCATCTTCTACCTCTGCTGCACCGCAGCCACTGAAGGGAGAAGTTTTTACAAAAGAATTGGAAAATAACCAGCTTGATATAAATAGTGCTTGAGTACAGATATGGCCCCAGGTCATCTGCTGCATATGAAGCCTGTGTGTGTCAGTCCACACTCATCTCATGGGAGGAGATCAGGAAAGTGAGCTGCTTAGTGTTTGCCCTGAAGATGAGACTAAAGAGTCAACCACCAATCCTGCTCGCCTCAGATTTAGGCAGAAATATGAAGACGTGTTAAATCATGTCACTTTTCTGGCAAAGAGTCCTAACAGCAAACAGATGCAGGGGTTGAAATGATTCACACAGGCCAGGTCGTCTGCTAATAGACTGTTTCTAATAAAGGAAAGAACAAAAAATAAAACGTACTGGGAGATGGAGCACAGTTTTGGCATTTTCCTTCTTCATGTCATAACCCTCCAGTGGGACGTGTTCTATCCTGCCACTCTGGGCAAACAACAAGTGTGTCCCTGGTGGCAGAGGGTGGACATCGGGGCGAGGGCCGGGTCCCACAGTGGGTGGCACTACACCATGGTCGATGCCTAGGTGAGTGAAAAACACATGATCAAGTCTGAACACTAACCACCACAACACTGCTGCCTGTGTACTACAAAAGCTCATGAAGTTTCTGGAGGTACAGCACAGTAATGATGTCCACACTCACACATTGGTCTGCTGCCGGGTCCAGATCGTGTCCCGTGGATCTCCTGTCCGTTACGGTCTACACACCAACACTGTCCTGTGCTGCCATGGCACTGCATTGGTTCATAGGCACCATGCTGATCACACGTGGGGATGTACTGTCCAACGGGAGGACGCGGACCTCTGGGACCAAACTCTGTTACAGAAAGGAGGCCGTCTCTGTGGTTTTCACACTGAGTTTTTGGCCTCCCTAGGTGAAAATATATAAAATTAGTTGTTGTTGTTACATCAGAATGAGGTTAAAAGATAAAATAAAACCTTATTACAAGCTTATTTACATTTATATTGGTATTCTGCTTTATTACAGCGACAACTTATAAACTTGCATATAATAGGGATGTCTGAGAATATCAGCCGACTGATATTATTGGCCGACTGGTATTATTGGCCCGATTTTAGCATATTATGTTATATCTGTAAGAATCGTTATAATGAAAACCTGATAACACAATGCCTTGGTTTTTGCCAAATGATGTGAAAAAAAATTGTTTTGGGGATAAACGGATGTATATTAAAGCAAAGGTCAATAGATGGCAGCATTGTCGCTCATTTAATTAATCTCATACTCATGCAGTGGTTTGTACAGATAAATAAATAAAAATTATATCGGCATTTCTGCAAAAAGTGAATATTGCACATCCCTGTATATAACTTCTAAAGTTTTCAAGAATATTAAACTTTGTTTTACTTTATTGAATTATATCAAATGTAGATTTACCTGGACCACAGTGTAAGCCGTCACCATAATACCCTGGCCTGCACTGGCAGGTAAATGAACCCTCGGTGTTATAGCACACAGCATCCTGATGACACCTGCCCTGCTGGCACTCATCGATGTCTGCAGGCAGGATTGAAAGAAGGTGAGTAAGGAGGGAGGAGAGTCATCGTAGGATAAAATGTTGTCTGAGCGCTGCTGCCTTTTATGGCCGAGATCCACAGTGTGCAGAACATCTTACAACGGCAATAAATGAGTGGGACAAAGTGAAGAAATGAGGCGTGACCCACTAAAAAAGAACCATCTAAAACTACAGTTCAAAGAAGAATTTCTTGCTGGAGAATAAAACATTTACTGCAAACCTAGCTAAATTAAAGTTAGCCTGGTACAAGAGCAGCTAAATGTTACTCCCTATGGACATAGTTAGCTACAGACAAACATTTGCAAAAATGAAAACAAAATTGACTAAAAAGTCACCACAGAAATAATTCCAAACAAAATAGTCAAATGAAGATAGCTTTAAACTAGCATCAATATAGCCGTTCTATTATATTAAAATAGTTCAAAATTAAGGGCTGGAATCCTAGTAACAATTAGGGACAACAATGAAAAATTTACAGGAAACTTTTGAATAAATTGCCCTGGAGATTTCACTAAATGCCTGCAAAACTTTTTTCATGCAGTGGCACTAGTTTGAGGAAGTGCAGACTCTCCCCCGCTGTTTCCCCCACTGCACATGGATTATGTAAGCTTTTTCTCCTCCCCCAGTCCTGAGCAGATGTTTTAATAATTACAACTATTTTCCATGTGTTTACATGTGTTAGAAATGCCTGACATTTCTCACAACTTTGTGAACTTTGGTTCAATTGAAACCATTGAACGCACACGCACAAAAGTGAGTCTAAGGAGAGGTTTCCTTCTAAGAAATGTAACAAACGACACTTCACAGAGCGAATTTCTGTCTTTTCATTTCCTAAAGCTGTAAAACTATGATAACTGCTGCAATGTCCTTGTCTGCTCATGTTTTTCCAAACCACCAGGCTCTGAAAAAACAAGAATGCAAAGGTTTTTGGCAGCTGTCAATCCCAAAATATCAATCTACTGGACTGGGAAAAAAAGTATTTTATTAATTGATATTAATAACCAGAAATCTGACTGACTAGCTGCTATTGTTTTCTAGTCATAATTGTAACTGAGAGTAATTCTTGCTTAACAGTAGAAGTGTTGCCTGTTGTGATCATCTTCAGTGGTGCTACCCTCTGTCTGTATTTTCTCTTTTTTTAACCCATAAAATACAAGCTGAACATACAAAGAATAAGTACAGTAAGAAATGTTGCTAGTCTGGGTAGGATTAGCCAACAGAAAAAGACTCATCACTACTGTAGATATATATTTAAAGAATGACACTTCAGTATAAGTGTGAAATGTTTTTGCGTAAACATCCCTGTACTAAACAGAAGTTTAACCTGATCTGCAATTAAAAACCCGGAAAAATGTCCAGTAAAAACAGATTCTCTACCTACCATTACATTGGGACATGTTTGTTGATGTGGTTGAACTGATTTAATATTTAGATGTTTATGTTATGAATTTTAAAAAGCTAGAAAACATTTACACACATATATATAAACATGGGGACTGTTAGCAGCCTGATTCCATTTTATTCAAAAACCTTTTTGGTTAAATGTCTGGCTGATGTACCTTGGCAGACTTTTCCATCTCCTATATATCCAGGCAGACATGAGCAGATGTAGGATGAACCTCCGGTATAGCTGCACTGAGCACGCTCAGGAATGTCACATGTATGGGTGCCTTCCTCACAGGGGTCAGTGGGGCGGTCAACCGCTGAAGAGAGAAGGGAAAGTGAGAACGTTTCTGCATTATTGATCAGAAGCTAGAGAATGTGTGAAGCCAATCTCCACACAACTGTCTGTGAAGTGACAGTTTGGAGTCTGACGTTTGTCTCGCTCAGTCTGATCTCCATGATTTTCAAACATTTCATTACAGTTTTTGTGTGGACCTGTGCAACCACACAGGGTGAGAGGTAAATTACTATGGAGACTCACAAACAGTACTTACCTATGCAGGTCTGCCCGTCGCTAGCAAACTGATATCCATCGTCACATTCACAACGGAATGTTCCGGGCTGGTTGTTGCAGACAGCATGGAAGCTACAGATGTGAGGGTTCTCTTTGCACTCGTCGATGTCTAATAAAGAGACCGACCAACATTAACCATAACATTAAAATAAACCCGCAGAACACCCTTCACTTTAAGACGTTACAGAAATATATATTTTTGTGGACTAAACTATTGTCTATGTTTAGCAAGTGCTGCGCAGGAAAATAAAAAGTCTAGTTTAAGGAGTCGCTGGTTAGAGCAGGTATTCAGACTGCGCTAATAAATTAACATAGACTTAACATACACTTTATTTGGCACTTTTTATTCTGTCCAGTGAGTGTACTGAATATGGTTACCAGTTCAATTAAGACCTACAATTGTTAAAAAGCAGCAAATAGGATCAAATGTGGATTAATGGTGCCAGATTCCAGCACCATGTCCAGCTTTCTGGCACTAAGAAGGGGCAACAGAGTTATGTGAAGCCTTGCATAAAAACAATTCATGTTGCACAGTACTTGACCTGATATTTTGAGCTTTTCAATATAAATTCTAAAAATGGTGAATGGTGATATATTCAAACTGAGCCGTGTGTGTTAAATATTAGTCCATCTTATTATGCAGGCCAAGAAACATTTACAGTTTCCCTTTGCTTACCCTTGACCGCGAACGAAGAGTAATAATAAAGACAAAATTCTCCTTTGACTTTGAATTCACTTAAACTACAGACTATATCACACGTGTTGTTAGGTCAGACAAGACAGTGCAATCAGGCTTCCTAATTGTGAGGTTTTTAAAGATAACATCTGTCTGAAATAGATCCTTCCTTTAAATCCATCATCCTCCATAAGGCTTGGAACTATTCTGGAGTTCTTAACCCCATCTGGGAAAAAACTGGACAGTTTTTCTCCCAATTTGGGAGTTCCTCTGCTAATTGGGAAGATTGAGCAGTTCCCCAGGAAGGAAGCCTTTTATGAAGTCTGGTTTAGTTAAACAGTGGATGTAAACAGACGTGGAAACAGTGTAGTTTAATTAAAGGCAGAAAAAAGCTCTGTGTGCAGCCATATTGGACCTCGGTATAAAATAATAACTTTAGGGTCTCGGTTCGGTTCTTCCACAGAACATGACGATGGAGAGGGGAAAAAAGAAACTTTGTTACTATATAAAGACACCAAGTGGCAAAAATACAGGCATGCAGTCCTATTTTAGACTATTAGACTATATCCTGTTTTTTTCTTTCATTAACTAAATTTAGAAAAACAAACTATCTTTGAAAAAAATGCAATCAAACCATTGTTTAGATAACTAGGTGATTTTTCCAACACATTTTTGGAGGTGTACAGCTCCATTTAATAGGCAAGGTGTGCCTACTTTAGTGTAATGGCTTAGATACCACTTGCAGGGTTCAGTTTTGTATCTGGTGGGAAACTTGTAAAATGCTGTGATAATGTTGAACCACTAAATTCAGGTCTGGGAGAAAGAAAAAAAGAGAGAATTCTAAAGCGAAAGAATGGCCTTCATCACACTTTAGTCTTACCAGAACATACACGGCCATCACCATTAAAACCAGCAGCACACTGGCAAGTAAACTGGTTTCCGTCTCCTGGTCTGCAAACAGCGTTTGTGTCACATCCATGTCTTCCTGTGAAACAGGGGTTTTCTTCTGGCTGCCCGCCTGAGAATTAAAACATGGCCAAAAAAGTTGTCGTTACTATTTCATAAACCGGTGGTTTTTAGGATCAAGAAAAACCCAAACCATAACCCTGATTTCAACCATCTTTTGATCAGGATAATATAGACTGTGTGTATTGTACTCCAGGAAGGAAGTGTGTTCAAAGCAAAACAGGAAGACGGGAATTGTCTCCATGACCTCACCGTTGATGTCCCCGATTTTGTTGCTCATGGCAAACCGGATGAGCTCATTACTGGAGTCATACATGACAAATATCTGGTCCACGTTGAGCATCTGGGTCGGTTTCATGTCTCTGTAGGACTCGTCGTGCTGGCAGCTCTGGAAGGAGATGGTCTGACGCCACTGATACGTCCTGGTGTCGGTGGATCCGTCAGGCAGGTTCACAATGTAGTCCCGGGTGGAGGAGGATGTGATCACTGTCAAAACAGGTGATAGTGAATCAGTGTTTGCTTGATTTGAAATATGGGAAAATGACTAGAGTCAGACTGAGTGAATCAGTGTTTATATTTTTCAGATTGTAACTTACAGTTGTTGCTGTACTGGTAGATCTCCGAAAAAGGGTTGACTTGCACTGTGGCTCCTTCAGGGACCTCGGGGACCCGACCGTTCAGGGTAGTGCTCACAACCAGGTGGTCATGTTCATCAATACCTTTGAACTCCTGCTTGATGGTCAGCTTCTCATTCTCTGGCAGAAAGGTCACCTCTGCCTGCCGTGTGAACTCCCCCCCTTCACAGGACAGAGGAGAGGTTAGCTTTGAGACCCTGGCCCTGAATGAACTTTGGCTTTCCGCCATCTGTCTGAGGTCATCTGAGGAGAATTCGGCTGGAACGGGCCAGGAAAACTGCAGCTGTATGACCAACTGTGCGGACACAAGCACTGACAGTTGTTGCGATGGATTTAGGCTTCAAGATTCTACACTTTTGTAATGAAGAGGAGCGTAAGTGAGAGCATAGAGAATGGGACATTTAAGAGTTAGAGAACTGACAACAGCAAAAACACATCGAAGGTATCACAATATCTGCACTTTAAACAAATAATAATATAAAAAAGTTAAAACTAATTCTGACTTTAGCCCTAATATGTAGATTGTCATGTTTTTGTGACTCATTACCAACAATACTGAAGCCATTCTTGAAGCCTGGCTGCTCCAGGGCGAAGGCCCATCCGATTGCACCACCGAGGGCCGACAGGGGCTGCAGTGAGGGCCCGACGGAATGTGGGATGTCGCTGATGGCCACGTAGGATCGGCCATCGTTTGCGACAACATACGAGTGGAGATCGTTGCTGCTGAACTCCACAGCTGAAGGAGATCTGCCCACGTGGACTTTTCCATGTAGTTTACCATTCATCCTCTGTGGTTTTCCTGGGAAACAAACCAAAACCACACAAGTTAGTCACACAGAAAAGTCCACAGGGCAAACCCTCCAAACTGACAGAACAGTCTTTTAAAATTTTTTTTAATGTTTTTAGAAACTAGCATAAAAGTTCAACAGGTTATAAGTCTTAATACATATTTGGAAATGACACACAACAGCATAAACCTTAAAGCAGTGTTTCTAAACTGCTGGGTTGTGATCCATAAATGGGTCTTGGGGCATCCATGTGTTGAATATACTGTAAATGTAAATACTGGTTTGTCCAGTCCACCAGCAAGGCTTTCCCATGTGACTCGTTTTTTATGTGTTTACTTTAAATAATCCCATCGGACAAGTCTTATCTCTCACTGATGAAAACACTCATTTATGAGATTATTTATTGGACAGTTCGGCAACAAAAACACATATAATTTACCAAAAATAAACACAATATTTAGTCATGTTTTTTTTATATTGGGTCATATTTCTAAGTCACATGGTGCAGAAAATGTTTTGACGGGATAATTTGGTAAGCAAAACTGAGTGCTTGATAAAAAAAATAAAATAAAATGTTGGCTCAGAGCCAGAAGACCGGGGGGAAATGGGCCCCAGGGCTGGATAACTTCAGACATGTTGTTTAAAACAATGTGAGTTTGACTTGAAAATTTAAACAATTGAGCATCAAATATCCAACTTAGCTTTCCTCATTCCCAAATGGAATTGTAATAACTTTAAATACTTTGTCCGTTGTGGGATAAATCTATACGGACTTAAATATTTTTATATATTTACTTGAAAGTGAGAGACAACAAAGATGGAACTGAACCTATTTTGGCCTTGACTGTTTACTGTTTACAAACCTGTTATGTTTTTGTCAAATAACACTTAAATGTCATCAAAATCTTCAGCAGTGATCCTAACGATGACGGAGACATGTTCACGTTCAATAAAATGTAAATTACCTTCCGCCACACACTCAATCCCATTTCCATAGAAGCCAGGCCTGCAGTGGCAACAGTACCCACTGGCGTAGTCCCTGCAGTCTGCAAACTGGGAACACTTCTTCCTGTTGTTTGCACATGTCCCCAGGTTGTATGAAAACACTGGGAAATGGAAAAGAGAAAAACACTGTATTTTTCAGCGATTTAAAACAGCAGAAAAACAATATATATTTTTTATGTGGAATTACTGTACCATCCACATTGATGTCTGTGTCGTCCACCACCACCACCACTTCTGGGTTCTCTGGTCGATGTGGCTGATACTGGACTGGGTGGACTTCAATCTGCCCCCCTTCCGGTTCAAACGGGGGGTACTCTACTTGCTGTCCATCAGTGTGCACGATCCTGACTGCATCGACATCAACATCGTAGCCTTCTGGCGCCCCCTGTGGTGTGGCTTCAGTAGGCAGGTCAGGGACCTCACCTGGTGCAACATTGGTAAAATAGGGAGAAGTACCGATCTCGTACACCCACACACCGCGCACGCCAGAGTTGGTTTCCCTAGAAGAGGTAACATTGTCAGTTAACACTTTTGCAGCAGCTGTGGTGTTAACAATCTCCAGTCTGTCAAGTCTTACTCTTGTAACGCTCTGACAGATTCAGCTTCATTTGTGGTGGTGCGGTAGTACGGTCCCTGTTGGTAAAACAGAAATCCACGAACAATACCCTGGCTAAAGCCAGCCTGCATTGTCACACCAGGGTCTTGTGTGGAGGAAAACTGTATTCCACCCCTTGGATATAGAACTATAGCAAAGGAGGCCTTCTCCGAAGAGGCAATAACCAGCTGGAAGGTGTTTCTCTGGGTAATCATAAAACATACTGACGTTAGTCCATCTATTGTTTTTCTTCAGAGACCACAGTAACAATCTGGATGCTCACCTTCTTGTCTTGACTTTGAGAGCCGTGAGCGGCGACATCAACCCAGGTGATGATCACAGTGTGGGTGGGATCGACTTCATCGTCATCAGGGAAGGCTCTGTTGATGTGCTCTGCTGCCTGACGCAGAACATCAGGCCTGGAGTCTTGGCGAAAGTAAACTTTGCCCACACCGTCACTTGTGTCCAGGTCTCCCTGCAGAGCTGCAATCATTCCAAACTTTGGAGGCATCGCGCTGAGATACGTCGACTCCTCTGTCGGCTCCACGGTGGCAACGAAACCATTGGTGTTGATCTGGAAGTTAAACAAAAATTTCAAAAATCAGACATAGAAGACCAGGACCATCTATCTCCTGGTCAGGGCTGCAGGGTGGCTGGAAATTCCCAACAGGTTTTGGGGTCCATCACAGGGCCACAGGAAGAGAAACACATTCACTCTCAAACTCATATCTTTGCTCCATGTAATGAAGTCCATAATGATGACATAAATAATGCACAGGGAGAACATGGAATCTCTATAAATAAGGACTACTGTCTGAATAACCACACAGTTTCGATCCTTAGACAGTTTTGTTGTAAGGCAGGAGAACTAGCCACTCTTCCACCATGTATCCAAAACACAGGGCAATGATTTATATTTTAAACAAGTTTCAATATGAGACAGCAAAAGTGGGATCATTCCAGCCTGACCCACTTTCAACTTTATTCCCGACTCATTAGAGTAGTGATTGAAGTTAGCTGCCATGTCCCACAGAGGCGCTAATGAACAAACAAGAGGAGGCAGATTCCTCACAATTTGGGTTTTTTAGCGAAAAACATGTAAGGCTTGTAAAAAAGAAGAAGCTGGGTTCAATTCCAAAAACACACACACACACACTCTACACATGGGGCTCCTCCACTTCCTGACCAGAGGAAAACAAGAGTACTATTCCTGGCCTCTTTTCAACTCTTTCCTGTCCTTGCCCCTGACGAACAGCCCTGGAGAACCCAGAGATTATGCACTAATCTTTATGACAGAGACTTCCTGCCAAAATGGAAGATAGGACTGGGAGAGGGATCAGGGATTTAAATTGTACTAACAGAGGGAGAGATGTTTTAATGTAAGTGAATGAGCCCAGCATACCAGAACCTAATGGAATATGAATCACTGTGAGGAGGAGACGATAAAAACCCTGCACATGATCAGAGGGTTTTCTGTCATGTCTGGTGTTAAGAACTTTTCTGTTTCACTGCAGGGCACAGACTCTTCAGCATAGACTGTTACATGAGTGGAAAAAAAAATCAATGTTCACAGTAACAGATGTGACTGAGACAGATGTTCTTGGTTTTGTTTTAGGCATAAGTCAAAGCTGTGCTCAACAGTGGGAAAAGTCTTCTTTGGACCATGACAGAGGGATAAATATTCCAATTTGAATATGATACACTCCAAAACACTGTATTATTATTTTGTGGAATGAAAATAACCAGGTTTGTACAATTTTAAGGCACCAAAAATGTAAATAGATGACATCGTCTGACTGCAAGAACATAACCAGTTTGACACCAGGTGGTGTCTGGTGCATGAAGTTTGCATGTTTATTTCTGTTCCAGAAGGGGGCATCATGGCGTGGAAAGTGTAGTGACATCGTTTTTATGGTTGAGTGTTTGAATTCACCTCCTTAACAATTAAAATATTTTAGATTCAAATGTCTTCATTTTCAACGTGTACTCCCATTGCTAGCTACTTCAAAAAAGTAGAAGTTGGCCATGCCCCAAATGACACTTTATAATTAATTAA